ATCCCGACATAACAACATCCTCAGACAAGGCATTCCAAGCTACAACCACTCTGTTGGAGAAGAAGAACTTTCGTGCGTCTAGCTGGGCACCAGTCACACATAGTTTAAATGGATGGCCTCTCCGGTTAGTCGTAGTCGCCAAATCGAAGAAGACTCCTGATGCGAGGGAGCAGCCCTGATTGTGCACGATGCAGAAAGCATGCATCAGGTCCCACGTAGCTGTCTGTAACTCAGAGGAAAGAGGTCAAGATTAGCTAATCGTGTTTCGTAGGGTAGTGACCTCCGCCCAGATACAAGTTTCGTTGCTCGCCGTCGAACTTTTCCGAGTATGCCGAGGTCTTTAGCGGTCCAGGGTCTCCATGCTTGGATAGAAAACTCCAGATGCGGTCGCACAAAAGTTTGAAAGACCTTGGCGAAGCAGTCTTCATCAAAGGAGGAGAACGCCCGTTTGACGAGGTAAAGAATGGACATCGCCTACTTGGCTACCTTTGAGCATTGCAGCGAAGGCTTAAGCGAGGTTGTGATCCATACACCCAAGTCCTTCTGGGCGTCGACTTCTTGCAGTGGTTTGCCAGTCAGACGGTAGACCATGTGGTTAGGAGAACTGGTTCTGCCGACGCGTAGGAAATTACACTTGTTTACGTTGAACGGTAGAAGCCAGTCTTTCGACCATTGCTCGAGGTGGTCCAGATTTGTCTGCAGTCGCGCCTCGTCAACTTCGCTTCGTGTGGTACTCCAGATCTTTATGTCATCAGCAAACCTTGCGACATCGCGATCCAGTTCGTTTGCGCAGTCGTTGACGTTTACAAGGAACAGTGTAGGGCCAAGAACAGGGCCTTGGGGAACACCACTCCTAACGGCAACCTCGGCAGATTGCTGGTCACTGACGTGGACGGCTTGAGAGCGGCCGAGTAAAAAGCTTCGAATCCACATCAGAAGCTTACCCCTCACTCCTATACGGCTGAGTTTGTATAGAAGGCGATGGTGAGGCACACTGTCGAAGGCCTTTTTAAAGTCGATATAGATGGCATGCACCATATCTCCTCTATCAACAGTCCGAGTCCAGTGTTCCAGACAGTAGTGCAAGTTTGTCACACAGGATCTGCCTTTTCGGAATCCATGCTAGGAATCGGAAAGCAGATGGTTTTGTTCAAGGAACTGCATTAATTGTTACTTTTTTATTTTCTCCATAATCTTGCAGCAAATGGAGGCGTGGCTGACAGGTCTGTAATTGTTCTCAGAGACCCGACTTCCACCCTTGTACAGCAGCGTAATCCACGCCGACTTCCAGTCGGGTGGCAGATATCCGGTCTCAAAGGATGTATGGAAAGGCATGGAGAGTGGTTTAGCCCACTCACCGGCGATTTCCTTCAAAATCATCGCTGGAATCTTATCGGGACCTGGTTATTTTGATTCCTTTAGCCTCATCAACTCCGTCAGAACCATGCCCTCAGTGAACTGAACGCTCTCCATAATTGTGGTGTCTTCGAATGGTTGAATCCTGTTTTACTACTAAAAACCGACCGAAAAAATTCTGAAAGGTGATCAGCTTTCGCTCTGTCTTCAGTGAGATGTTCGTCTTCAGCAGTCGTTGGCAGTGATATTGGGTCCCTGTTCCGCATGCACTGCCTTATGTAACCGTAGAATAATTCAGGGTTCTCCGCGGCACGGTTAAGCAGATCCCCTTCGGATTCCCTTCTAGTTTTGAGGATAAGACCCTTGACTCGATTTATTTGAACCTTGTACGCACGTATAGATGTGGGGCTCCTGTCAGAAAGCGATTTTTCCACAGTCTTCGTTTTTTTTATTCACTTCATTCTTCAAGGCTTGCGTAAGCCATCGAGGTCTGTTAGTTACCCTCTTCTGTGAAGGCGGACAGTGGCTTGCGATCAGCTTGTGCAGCATTTTTCGGAACCGTTGTCAGTCTTCGAGTATGCTTCCAATAAACACGAATTCCCACTCAATACATGAAATTTCGGCCCTCATTTGGTCGAAATCTCCGCGCCAAAGGTCTCTTCTAACTGTCATGGGTTTCTCGGGTATGGAAAAAAAGCAGCAATCTCATAGAAGAACGACGTGGTCACTTTTAATTAAGGGAGCAGGTATGACACCTCATCAATGCTGTCCTGTGATTTTGTAAGGACAAGACCATGGCAGTTGGCCTGTTGGCCTTCGCGCACTCTAGTTGGAAACATGACGTGTTGAGTGAGAAATAACTTCAGTGCCGTGTTACGAAAGCTCCCATCGAAGGTCTGTTCTGAGCTATTTGCATGGGTCGAGCTCCAGTCAATCTGAGGCGCATTAAAGTCGCCCATGATTAGGATATCTGGCCGCGTAGCGAACTCTTCGAGGTCCTCCAGCAGACGAACGTCCGTCATGTTGTCCCGTCTCGGCCGTCGATAAACTGTCAGGACAGCGAGGTTAGGCGTGCTCGGCACTTTAAAAGACAGCCAGATTGCCTCAGAAGTACGAAAATTTATCGGTTTTGTCTGATACATCTATCCCATTGTTCACATACGTGATTACGTCTCCTCCTTGACGCCCTTCTTTCGTGTTCCATAGTCGTGAGACAGACTACGTAGGATATCCGTGGTAAGAAATCTGATAGCAATGACTACATGTCCGATAGGCCCTCAACGTTAATAAACCAGAGGCAGATGAAAGTCTTGGAGCTATGTCTTTGGTTTAATTTGTCAAGTAACTATGAATTAAACCCTGTGCAATATATGATATAGCCCAGAAGAAACCACACAACCTCATGAAGAAAATGTCGCACAGTCACATTCAGGGAAAGCCCGGGTAACGGAATGGCCATTCAGACTTCGGTAAGGCTGTCAAGGCCCCACTCGAAAAACCGCTTTTACCAACATACCCATGTTATAGGTGTTCTTGCTCGAAAATGCGGGGGAGTTTTGCATATTTATATACTACTGTCTTGGGCAGAGATTTATGACTGTTGCTGCATTTTGACTCATCACTATTCCCTGGCTACTAAAAAATACATTGAAACATAGCAAAAATAGTCCTACGCTTGAATGTCAAGGCCCTTTGAGCTTCTTTCTAACACCGAAAAATTCGTGTATTAAGTATTCTGCTACAAATGACAATTAATTCGAGTTAAATCGAGGGGTCGGAACATCAACATTGTTAGTGACTACTTGACTGGCGTTTGCATTGACCACGCCCTGGAAACCACTGATAAGATCCGTTTATTAGACCTTCTATGCGATTTCATCCCAGTCCGCTTCACAGATCAGAAAGCCGATTCTGTGAGATAGTTCACGTGAGAGCGGTTGCACCTACTCCCTCTTCTCCAGGCCGGTCTGCGAGTGAATCACCTCAGAGGAGCCAGCTCCTCGATAGGCATTATAACCACGCAGACTAGCCCAAGTGTGCAGGAGAGGTCAGCCGACAGTTCGACTGTTGCATCCGACGCTGTCCATCGTGTGCTCCACAAGATGAAGCAGGCATGGTGACTTGCGCGTGATTCAGTTTATAGAGAATATAAACTTGCGCTGCATCTACCGCACCCTCTCTTCGCACCCCCCGCCTGAACCATATGTCAAGACAGAGTCACGAAGGTAGGAGGCGGGGGAGGGCGTAGGTGGATGGCACGGTCGGGCCCGCACCTTGGCTCTCCATTCCACACCCCCTCGTCCACAACAAACACTTGACCAGGATTTTAACCAACAACAACACAAGGGGATGGCGCGGCCGAACTTGCACTTAGGCGTGCCGTCACACCTGGCTCGGATCCCACGGAGTGTGAGTGCCATAGAGGTCACATTAAGAAGGAGCCATCGCACCTTGACTCTCAGTTCACCAGTCAGCCACTCCACACAAACCCGCAACAGTGGGCCGACTGCGAAGTCCAAATCATGTCGTCAGTTGGCAACCTTCCAAGTCATTGCTTTTAGCGCACCGTGATGGCTTCAAACGCGTCAAATTGTTTAAAGTGAGGAAATGCACTGGGCCATCGACCTCACTCTCCCTTCCCATTCTCAGGCCCCAGCCGCTGTCCCGGCCGGTCAGTTGGCAGGTGCGGGGAATGGGCGCGGCGGCTGACATGTCTAGTGACCTTGTCTGCGCGCGCCACATGAACGACCTGCCCCCTCAAACAAAAACACCAGGATTTCACACAACGGGGGTTGAGCAACGTACATCTCACATGAGTGCGAGTGCCGTAGGTAACGCTAAGAAGCAGCCAATTCAGCCTGGTTCTCACTCCGCAAGTCCACCACTCCACACATATGCACATACAACTGGGCAGATTGCGTGGGCTGAGTTAGGGCGTCGGTCATCAGCCTTCCAGGCGGTAGGGATCGCATGGAGACGGAATCTAAACGCACACTTCTCACCTGCGTGGGAGATAAAAATTGGATAATTGTGGTAGATGATGATGCTGCGTGATGTAGGTGGAGGAAGATGTTATGGTGTGGTTTAGTCGACAGTTGTCTACAGCAGGTTTTCATGAATGTGCATGTGGCCTAGTAGGCCCATGCGGTGGGTGAATGTGCGGGTGCAGTGAAGGCAGTGAAGGCAGATGCGGCGAATGTATGTAAATGCTTCAGGCACTGGTTTGCCAGTCTCTGTGCGACGGATTCGCAAGTGACCGAGAGGCCGATGCGTGAGATGAATCTACGAGGACAGTGCGGACAGGAAAAGTCGGTGTTCGGTCGGTCTCGGGCGAGGTCTTCCCAGTCGGCCTGGTTGATCTGCAGACGCTTCAGGGTGCCTTTGTAGCGACTAATTTAACCTCCCTGTCCGCGGGAACCCGTAACGACATATCCACAGAAGAGTCGTTTGGATAGCCGCTTGTCGTCCATCGGCACGATGTGGTCGCTCCAGCGCAGTTGCAGCTGTCTCAGCATGGCCTGGATGCCGAGGATTCCCGTCCGCTCCAGTACGTCCGTGTCTGGCATTCCGTCCTGCCATCTCAGCCTCAGTATCCGTCGGCGACAGCTGAGATTGAAGTGACTGAGTCTTCCTGCCTGCACCCTCTACACCGTCCAAGTATCTGCTCCGTACAGCAGCGTCCGTAGGATGACTGCCTTGTACATCTTCAGTCTGGTGTTGAGATAGAGACCGTGGCGATTCCAGACTGTGTTGCAAAGACGGCTGAGGGCTTGGCTGATTTTGGAAATCTGGCGGACCACTGCTTCGTCGATTTTGGTGTTCCGAGAGGGGGTTCTGCTCAGATACGTGAAGTTGTCCACCACTTGCAGTTGGACTCCGTTCACTTTGATTTCGGCTGTGTTGTAGGCAGCGTCGGGTGGCCGTTGATGCATAACCACCCTCTTGTCGCAGACGACGACGAAGAGATTCATGCTCCTCCGCATGTTCCCTTCCAAGGTGGCATTGAAAGCGCAGTCGTCAGTGAAGAGAAGTTCATGCATGGTAGTTGTGGATAAAGGCGACTGGAAGTGCATCTGTCGCCGATTAAGGATGTGGCCGTCCGTCCCGTAGGCGATACGGATCCCAGGGCGTTCGTCACGGTAGGCGTCCATCAGCATGGCAGAGAAGATGAGACCGAAGAGAGTAGGCGAGAGGACGCAGCCCTGCTGCATTCCGTTGGTCACTGCAAATGCCCCTGAGACATCTCCATTTTCTGTGACTCGCGCGATCTTGCCATCGTGGAGTTGACGCACCATCTGAGAGAATCGCTCGGGACAGCCGAATTCCCACATTATTTTCCACAATCCTTCGCGATTAACCGTCTCGAAGGCTGTCATCAGATCTACGAAAGTAGAGTAGAGGTGGACTCGCATCTAACACTTCTTCTGTAGTTGGTGGACGACGAAGGTCATGTCGGTGATTCCGCGATGACTGCGGAAACCGCACTGGCTTTCTGGCAGGGAACCTTATTCCAAATGATAGTTCTGGAGGTTGGGGAGGATGTGAACGAAGATTTTCCCGACGATGCTCAGTAAGGAGATGCTTTATGGTTGTCACAGAGCTGGCTATTATCTTTTCGTTTTTAGAGATGGACGATTGTGGCGTCCTTGGAGTTCTGCGGGACTTCTCCTTGACGCCACATCTCCTGGAAGAGCGCTATCAGATGATCCATGAGCAGGGGCCCACCCTGTTTGTAGATCTCAGCAGGGATCGCGTCCGATCCAGGCACTTTCCTGCTGGAAAGCGGCTGCATGGCCTTAATGGTTTTGTGGAGAGAGGGCGGGAGGTAGATGTCGACGTCGGCCTCCACTTGAGGCGGACGGGCGATGGCGGCGTCGGAGATGGTGGAGAGTCGGTTGAGGACGCCTTTGATGTGTTCGGCCACCGTTGTAGGATATTTGCCTTCGCGGTGAGTAGGGTACTGCCGTCGGCGCTGAGAAGAGGAGCATTTGCTTTGGTTGGCGGACCGTAGACAGCATTGTTCGCGGAGAAGAAATTCTTCCATTCGTTGCGGTCCGCGTATCCTTGGATCTTTTGGCCTTGCGAGCTGTCCAAGCGTCCCGCATTTCCCGCAGCCGCTGTTACAAAAGGCGGCGACGACTACGGTAGAAGGCTTCTTTGTTGTCGTCGGTAAGGCGATTGACCTTGGATTTGTGCGGACGGTTCTCCTAGGCGAGCAGATTGCTGACGGCGACGTCGCTGTCATCGAATCAGTCTTGGTTTTGGCGTATAGCGCGACCGAGGACAGTCGAGGCGGTCGACTGGACTGTGTCCCCATCAGTTTTCCCCGGAGGAGTTCTTGTCAGCGTCGGCAGCGGCGGCGCCTGGCAGGTTGACCAGCCTTTGAGCTAGTTCATTGCTTAAATGGCGATGGTGTGCAGGCAAGACAACAAAGCAATATTCAGCCTACCTGGGGGTCGCTTACCTTGAGGTCTCCTGAGAGGCTGTAGGCCAATCCGCATCTTGGAGATGACGAGACAATGGTCGGTCCACCCGTCAGCACCGGGGATCGCCTTTGTCCCCAGCACCTCCCGCTGGTCTCGCCTCTGGACGAGGACATAGTCCAGCAGGTGCCATTGTCGCGACCTAGGATGCCTCCATGTGGCCTTCTCTCGCCTTGGAATGCAGAAAAAGGTGCTGGTGAGGGTGATCCGGTGATCTGCGCAGGTTTGAATGAGTATGAAATTGTCGTTGAGCCGTGGAGATCATGGGAACCCAGCACGCCTCCCCAGACAGCATGGTCTGTGTGGACGCGGGCGCTGGGGTCACCAAGGCCAATCAACTTAACCGTCTTCGGCACAGACGCCAGGAGGGCGTGCAGATCCCTGTAAATTTGTTTCTTGCAGTGTCAGGACTGGTCATTGTGGGTAGGGCATGGACGGATGCTCATAAGGCGGTCATTTATGCCCTGCGCAGACAGGACAGTCGTCGCAAGGTGTCGTCCCGGGTGGCAAAGGCGACACTCAGCCCTGGGGCGACCACTCCAGAAGAGGGTGTAGCCAGCACCCACCTCCTCCAGTTGGCCTCGTTCGGAGAAGCGAATCTCGCTGAGTGTGGCGTCGTCCAGCTTGTGGCGCGCAATTTCTCGAACCATTAGCGCCGTTATCCGTTCCGGTCGGTTGCTCCTGGGATTGTCTAAAAGGGGACGAACATTCCAGGCTGCCAGAATGAGCGAACCTACCCTACCAGCCGGTTTAATGGAGTGTCGGGGAAGATAAGGAGGGGAAAAAGAGAGAGAGTATTATTTCTTGTTTGATTGTTGCGACCGTGCGTTTTGAGTCTGCGAGCCACGGTTAGCGCACAGGGGACGTGATCCCAGTATTTTTTGAAGCAGCTTTTCTAGCCCCACCCCCCTCGCGGAGGTGATCAGTGCTGTCCCTAAATAAGGCTGCTCGGACATCCCAGACGGCTGCCGGACTCCACTATGGGCCACGAATTTGTTTGATGGGAGAACGACCCGCGTTTGCCTGGGCCGCCTACGTGATCGCTGTCGCTCACGCCGTAAGACTTGAAGGCGGGGTGGGGGAAGACCAGAGAGACGGGAAGCAGCTAACTGGTTGCTGAAATATAAACGGTGAGCAGACAAATTCAACAGAACGGTATTTAGTTTGCAACAAGAACAAACACAGACAGATAGGCAGACAAAGGCAAGCAAGCAAGATCAAGCAAAAACAAAGACAACTGAGCAGTATTCGGCCTACCTGGGGGATCACTTACCTTGTGGCCTTTAGGGGGGTTGCAGACGAAGCTTCATCTTGCAGGTGGCGAGGCGCTGACTCGTGGGATATTCGACCATGGGCTAAGACGGTAGAGTAGAGCAGAGGGTCGAGAGAATGAGGGGCAAAGGGCGAGGGCGGAGAATAAGTGCGAGAGAGCAGTAAGCAGGCGGTCTCCCAGTCACTGGGTCAGTATCTTGCTGAGTGCTTGTGGCCTCCTGTGGAGTTGTAGACGGGACCTCATCTCAGAGAAGCCGAGGAGGTGATCCGTCCGGCCATCGATGGTGGGAGAGGAGCCGAGTTCCCGTGTGAGGAGATGCATCCACGGATACCCTCACCGGGTTCAGCCCGCCGGTCGAGACGGTTGCCGGGCTGTGGCCACTAGGCAGAGCCTGGCTTCGGGGAGCCACTTGTGAGGGTTGGGTGCTAGTTAATGGACGCTTAGCGTAGTCAACACTTGCAAGCAAGTGAATGACCTACTACGACCATCACGTAGACCCATAACTGGACACACCTACACCCCGGAGAGTTCGGCTATACAGGATAAGACAACGTTAGAAAGATGTACGAATTGTAGTTAGTTATGGGGACTATGTCGAAATACCTATATCCAGGTGTTCTCTCACATACCAAATAGGTCGGTATTATAACACTTTTTATCTCCTTACGTGTGCGGCTTGTGCGGACTCGGATGAGAGATAGGGCAAAACACACTTTAGACGCAATTTAGATTTAGATGTCACGTGGAGAGGGGAGGAGAGAGGGGGAAAGAGAGAAGGGAAGAACAGCTTAATGTGTTGCTACAATTTTCTAACGCGAAACCATGTTACCTTGACTGTAAAGCTAATTTGCTATACTTTGCGAGAAAATCATTTGCGCAGGACGATCTCATTCGCTGTGCGTTTGTTTTCCTGTTCCACGCTGATGGGATAGGTCGGCAGTTTACGTGTGTCCCGTGACTATCCACTTCACGGAAAATACATGCAACATTGCCAGGATCCCTCTTCACTGCGCGACCATCGTTTCGCGTTGCACTGGGTGCTAACAGCAACACTCCAGGGGCGTCAAACTCTATCGGCTACATAATGAGCCACTTGGAAGCACACTGCTCGTGTGGGAGGGAGGGGAGGCAAGGCCGCATGAAACTTTTCCGACCTTTTGATTTTTGCCTTTTTTAGACCACTAGATAAAATAGATATTCTATGGGCCTCAGAACTGTCAACCCGTTTCCAACTCAGAGGCAGAGTGGATTTTTTCTTACAAAAAAAATCAGGTCTTGCCACGTCAAGGAAATTATTATTATAAATCACGGCTTTTTCCGCACACTGTACTTCAGCATCCTGCTGCTGACTATAATTGTAGGACAGCTCAATGTGCAAACATCCCTTGTAAAGTACATAGTGTGAACAGCTAGCATAATTTCGGATTTTATTCAGCTGCAGTCATAAGTTCCCCATTTAAAACTGGAGTGCCCATTGCTGGTAATCCGACGTCGTCGCAACGGCGTCATGCAGTATCAGAAAAGCGTCGAACACGCCTCTGACGAGCAACTTTTGACGGAATTTTTTAGCAAGGCATCCAACGCTGCAAGGTAGTCGTTGTGTTAACGACCATCCCTGGTCTTCCTTACTTTACCCTATCACCTGGGCATGTTTTATGCGAGAATAGGGAGTAGGGTAGGTGATGTGCAACTCCGCTTCATTATAAACCACTTCACTCGTCAGTCACCAGTGCCCCTTCTTGGAGATAACCGTGAGCTTCACTGTTTGTGACAAGGGACCTATTGTTTGGACGCTAAAAAAAACTCTTAATACCTGAGGCGTACGCTGTTAGCGTGTGAGCTGGAGGCGTTTCCAGGTAAAATGCAAACACATGATCATTAGCACAATAAAACTAGTAAGTATTGTTGAGGATGAGTTAAAGTGGAAAAACGAAATGCAGACTGCGAAGAATGTTTAGCTAAATTCTCGCTATCGCAAGAAGCTTTAATCATAACCCGTCCTCATATTTTTAGCGTAGTTTGAATGCTAGGACTGATCAAAATTCGGTCCTGCCACCACAATTTCGTCGCATGGACACGAGGAGAGGGAGAGAGTTAGAATTAAGCAGTCGAGATGGAGTGTAAGGTTGCAGTTATCGTTAGAGAAGACCTGCGCAGTAGACGCAAGGCCTTATCTGCCTAAAAGAAATGTCACCGTCCTCATGTGTAAGCTTGTTGGATACTACCTGCCTTTAAGCCGATTACTTTGGCTAATGTCCCAGCCCGCCTGAACTGCTCAGAACGACATGACTTGCTTTTTCAACTCTATCTATGCTTCTTCGCTCTTCAATGTAGCCTTATTCTGAACTGTGACCACTTTAGTCGTGTCAATATTCGTTGTCTTGTTTTACTGACATTCGAGAGTTCAGTTGACTCAAACAACCGTTTTGATGCGCCACTCAGCCATGTTCAAACAAGGCAGTTCGGGCTCGTTCAAGACAGAACTAAGATTATGTTGTCTCATTGAAACGCAGAGAACCTATTCTACGTCCAAGGAACTGTCATAAGTTGTTTAGTCCAAAAGTGCCTTCATAATTATACCACTCTTGTAAGCCACGCGGAAGAGTGATCTAAAATGACGCTTTGCTCTTCCGAAGTATTCGAAAAAACACGGTTGACGCCTTGATAGAGAAGAACAGTTCGGTACAATTATTCATCCCAGAGACAAAAGCGACAAATTCATCATTTTGGTCCCCAGTGACAACCTTGGAGACTTGGGCAATGCCTCAAGTACAGGAGAGTGAGGAACGCCATATAGAAAGACAGAAACGGTGACGGAGTTAGAATTAGGTATTCAGGATGGGGTGAAGTCGTAATTATCGTTAGATAAGCTTAGTATAGTAGCTGTAAGCGCTTATCTGCCTACGTTAAATATCATATTACTGGCAATGCCATCATGCACAAACACGTAGGAGATTACCGGCACTTAAGCTGATCGACTTCGTTGGCGCATTAATCTCCTCCAACTGCTCAGAATAGCCTATCATTCATTTTAACTTTATCCCAAAATGTTCATTCTTTTGTGAAATATCTTTCTGAATTAAAACCGCTTTTGTCGTGCCAGTATTCGCCGTCTGGTTTTATTGGCTTACGAGGGCGTTTTGGACCTACACAGCCGTTTTGGTGGGCCGTCTAACCATGTTCGTATAAGGTACTCTACCCTCCTTTTACACAAAGCCGAGACTTGTTACTGAACTGTGATTATCTTGTCTCAGTGGAACTATAGGAATCTGTTCTACAACTGCGGAAATGTCGTAACCTTATGTCGTATGCTGTTTTGCCAAAACGCTTTCACAATTATACATTTTTTGGCAAGCAACTAGGACAGTCGTCCAAACTGACACCTTATTCTTCCAAAGTCTTTGAGAAGGTAAAGTTAATGCTCCTTTTAGCAAGGAAGTGCAGATCGACAGAACTATTCCTACCAATGACAAAACGATAAATTTGTCATTATACCCCGCTTTGGCGAATTTTGATGAGGTACAAGGGACTGAGAATCAGAGTCTGCCCTCCGATATCCCGAGTCCGACACATTACGAAAATGGGCTCATACAATCCAAACCGAAGTGATGCCAGAGTATTTTAACCATAACCTTGGAAGCAGAGGAAGGCTGGTCATCTAGTTACAAGCAAGGATACACTTACACAGAATTCCAGTGTTTTACTGTGTGTGCCTGTCATAAGATAAGGTCATGTGGCGTCTGAAAATGCAGGTACAGTGTGAACAGGGACGGCGGACGTGAGGGGTATCCGTCGGGGCGCCAGGTACTAGCTCACCAGTTATACCACGATGTATTTACAGGTGTTAGACCAGAACGATGCGTAATTGGAACGTGCGGTCGCAGGTGAGACAAGCTGGCACTGTGTCTGAACTCCTAGTAGTTGAGCTGGTTGCGTCCCCTTGTGGTGGGTACGAGAGTGTCAGATAAAAACTAGTCGCTCCTGAAAGGTCGTATTAGAGGGAGGAATCTCTGGGGAGGGAGAGGTAATCGAGGGATAGTAATGCTTTGTTAGTAGAGGCAATGAGTTGGACGTTTTGTTATTTCCGTTAGAACTGAATATGTCCAAGACCTTACGCAGTCAATAAGAAACACCACTGGCCGACCTATTCCATCACTTCAACCTTATATGCGCCTACTCGTACGCGCATAACCTTCTTTCTCTCTGGAACAGATTACTATGCGGAAGGAGCGGCTGATACGTCCGTGGATTTAGCGCAGGAGCCCCCCCTCCCCCACTTCGACCGAAATAAATACTCAGTACCGAATTTTCTGACCCATGTTGATTGTTTATCCCCCTTCTCACCCAGTTCCTGCTCCCGCTGACGGTTAAGCTTTGTCT